GATACCCCACACCTGAGATACCCCACACCTGAGACACCCACACACCTGGGACACCCTATACCTGAGACACCCCCTCCCTGCCGTACCCCACACCTGTGGCACCCCACACACCTGGGCCTCCCCACCCCAGGACGGCCCCGCACCTGCCCCACCCCACCCCAGGTGCTCTGAGGACACCAGGTCGCCCCTGGGACCCCCCGATGTCCCCTCACCCCGCCGGACTTTCCCGCCAAAACCCATCCGACCCTCATTCGTTATTCATTCATCATTCACCAAACGAGGGGGCGTGGCCACAGGCGGCGCGCACTTCCGTTATGATGAAGGGCGTGGCTAAATTTAAATATTCATGAGCTGGGCGGGGAAAACCGCGCACGCGCGCCGCTCGCGCCCCGCCCCCCTCCCCCGCGCGCCGAAAGGGGCCGAGGGCCGAAAAGGCGGGAAAAATCGTTATTACCCAAAACCGGCATAAATTCACCTAAAACAGGGGCGGAGTTGCCAATAGCACTGAGGAAACACCGCTGAAGGGACACGCTGTTGTCGTCTGTGATTGGCAGCCACCAAATCGAAACTTAACTGTGTTGGTTTTTAATATTTGCCGACATTTCTGCTCCCAAACACAGCTGTGCTGCCTGTACACACCCGCCTCTGCTCCTACGACCAGAACCCCTTTTAACCCCAATAGCTAGCACAGTTTGACTGAAATGAAGCTTTAAAGAGTTGAATTTAAATAATAATAATTTTTAAATGGCGGTTTGGGGTTTCTTTCCCCCTCAGGGACACGGGGTTTGGTGACCCCACACCCCCATCCCCTGCTGCTCCCTCACGGCTCCCTGTGGGCGCCAGGCTGGGGGTGTTTGTGGAGAGGGGGTTTCTCTGAGGTAAAAAACGGCTGATAAAGTGTTTCATGTGAGTACCGGCAACTGTGAGACATCCTCTAATAATTTTATGTAGGTTTTAGGGTGTAGGTCCCCCATTTCAGCCTTTTAGCCACGAGTTTTAGTAGCTTGGGGGAGAGGGGCCATGGTGGAGGACACAGCCTGGCCCATCCTTTGGCCTAAAGGTCGCAGCCCGTCCAAATCTGACCCAAAACCACAAGTAAAAGGCCAAAAAGAACAAGTTTCATCAAATATTGAAGCCTGAGGAGCAAATGCAGCCTGGAGTGAGGGAAAAATAGGCCATTTTTAGTGTTTTCTCCTTCTGTTGGGAGCCAGGCCCCTCACACCGCAACCCGGCCACCATCAACAACAGGGCCAGGAACCCTCAGCTCTGCTTTATATTCACATTATTCCCCAATTTAGGTGGTTTGGGGACCGATTTGCACCATCAATCTTCCACAGAGCCTTTATCATGAATAAAAACACTTTTTTTAAACAAAAATTTTCAGTGTAGTTTAGGGGTAACAACTCCATGGGTGCATTCGGTGCTCTAAGGTTTGTCACCCCCTACTTCAGCTTGTACTTGAAAATTATTATTTCATTTTCTTCTATTTTAATTTATTTTTATACCACAAAAGACAAGAGAAAATCGAGAAAAAAACCAAATAAAAACCCCCATGGAGTTAACATTCAAAGCCACTGGGTTTATGGTGATGAGGAAGGGAAAGGGAAACATCCCAAACTAATCTCTAGAGTAAACACCCTTTTTGCAATAAATGTTTGCCAAATGCTAACACAGGGCTCCGAGAAATATCAGGACTAAAGTGCATCCATTAGCAGGATTTTAGCGACTGCTTAAGGGCAACATGGGTGGAAGTTGATGCTTTCTGCCTTGTAAACAAATTAGTTTATAGCGACAAATAAGATGACCCTTCTTAGCTAATATTATGAGTTTAGCTTGTTAAATATTTAACATTTACCTTTCAATTTCCAGTGTGGATTAAGCAGTTTTCCAAACATTGGTGTCCCAGCAGCAGATGGAGATGCACAGCCCATTGCCCCGCTCTGGCTCAAGTCACTAAGAAATAAAAAAACAAAAACCACGTTAAGTCAAAGAGGAAGCAAATGGGAGCTTTCAGGAAAGGCTTTAAAACTGACTGTTTGCACTCGTTTTTATTTACATTAATTTTATCTAGCTCTGCTCCGCATTAAAACAGCGATAATCGATTTAACTTCGACCAGATTGGACAGAAACAGACAAATATCAGACAAATCCTTCCCAAAAACCTCGCTGGTGGCAAAGTATTTTTCCTTCCACAGCTGGAGAGCCAAGGTAAGATTTTTAAAAACCACTGAAAGATCCCACAAATCCCTGCAGCTCCAGACAGAGAGTGGGAAGAAAAGAAAGTAGCATAGGGTTGCAACTTTATTTCTGAAGCTTGGATCAGAAATATGCACCGGATCTAGCCAAGTTTAGAGGTGCCTGGTCCTAAACAGGGCTGACTTTTATGTGGAATCCACAATTCTGGGTGTAAAAATCCCTTGCTTTTAGAAGATAAGGATTTTTAATAGAATTTTTATCTATAGCTGATTTTTCTTAAAGGTGTTTTGCCAATTTCCCCTCCTAAAACCCTAAAAAACACTAATTTTAGCCGCACTAACATTTCCCCCCAAGCCCTTTAAAAGTTTTCAGCTGCTTTAGCAAGCCAGAAATATCCCACAGCTAAATTAAAAACGCTCCCAGCGACATAAAAAAATTCCTGAAATGTACAATTCCCAGTCTCCCCAGAGCCAGCACGGTTACACTTTTCCCAAAATTCCCTCGATTTCTCAGCACAAACAGAGCCCCCATTGTGGACTGGGAAATTTCCCTTCCGTGGAATATTGGAGAGGCTGGCTGGAGCGATTTGGTGACAAACAGGGAGGATGTTTGGAGCTCGTTGTCTGTAATTTTGTAAATTTTTAATCCCGGGAACAATGGGCTCTGTTCTCCGGGAGAATTTCCCCACTGCAGCTTGGAGCTGCTCCAAAGATGTTCCAGCCTGGAATGATCCCGCAGCACTTGGCAATCCCCCCGGAGCCTCAGCTGCTGCAATCAGGGATGAGTGTGAAAAATCTCAGTTAGAACATAAATTTAAAACACAGCTCCCGGTGTTGCCTGACATTGTGACGTGTGGCTGTTCTAGACACCCAAACCCCAGAAGGTGAATCAAATAATCCCATTTATTGATTCTTTCACAGCTCGTTTTCAGTCTCCAGTGATTTTGGAAAAGCCTGAGGCACTGACATTTTCGCGGGGCAATGCCGTATCATTTATTTTTATATCACATTATATTAAATTAAGCCTCGCACCAACTCATGAAAAGGAGGTTTGAAGCATCGCTTTGGTGCTTTTAATCTTCGGTTTGGTCCTTCTCAGTCAGTAATTATCGCTCTAAAGGAACGGTGATGATCCTTTCAATAACAGCCCTGGAACTTTGGTGTTCTGTTGAATAATTAGCTTGACAAATTCCAGCGATGTTGTTAATTACTGTAGCTTGTACCCTCACATGTGATTCCCCAAGAATTCCCTTCCAGAAATGTTTTCCTCACTTTCTGTTCTCTCAGTGCTTTTGTCTCTTCCTCCCCCCAAATCAGCTGAGCCCTCCATCCCCCCAGACATTATTTATATTTTTCAACACTCTAAATTATTAGCTAGAACACGTTTTGTTCTTTATGTACTAAAAGTTATTTAGCGAATTGCTTCCACCGCGCTGAACCCCAGCAGTTTATCCCCCACACACACAGACGAGATTTTCACTTTGCGTTTCTCCAAGGAAGTCATTTCCTCTCAGCATCATTCTGGGAGCTTCTTCCTCCTCAGAAAATCAGAATTTCATCTGGTTTTTGTTGTTATTTTTTTTTTTCTCCAGGTGTAATTTATGGGAACACCAAAACAATGAGCAGCTGCACCTCGGTCCCCAGGCAGAAGCAGAGGAGGAGCAGCCGCCGCTCCGGCCTCACCTCGGGCAGGGATTCCCAGGCTGTGTCAGCGCTGGGGGATTTCCAAACCCTTCCCTTAGAGATCTTCCAAATGGTGCTGAATTATCTCTCAGGTGAGAAAACATCAGAAACATCGATATCTGAAAATTACCGTCGATCCCCCCCCCCCTTTCAGTTATTGTTTAAAATGTTGTCGATTTTAAGTACTTAAAGTAATTTTGTGTGACTTGAACTCTGAATTTTCAGCTTTTTAAGCACAGAAAAACAACCGCCCAACATTTTAGTGATAACCACAATCTACTTGAAGCCGTTTTTTGCCTATCAAATGTGAAAATTATTCCTTAGATCTGTCAGCTTCTAATTACTCCAGCTCTCTGGCAAAGCAGACCGACAGCAATTAATTCCTGTTTTATTTATAAATCTTCTTTCTTGGCCTTGTTCCTGAAGGCAGAAGAAGTCATTGACATTTTTCCCTTGCAGTGGGGATTTAGGAGTGTCCCGGGCTTTGCTTTTGCAGTGAAGGACATCAGCATGCTGAGCATGGTGTCCAAAACCATCAGCGGCCGCCTGATTAATTACATCTCCACCTCGTCAGGGAGCCGCCGGCTGCTGCTGCAGGACTTCCACCGCCCCGAGCTGCCTGCCAGGAGAGAAGGAGCCTCCATCCTGGAGCACTACAAAGCTCTAGGTGAGAGCAAAACTCACTCCAGATCTCCCTCCTGGGACGCGCCTTAACAGGGGATGTGACCAAAAAAACCAGGAGACAAAGGGCTCCTTTCAGCACCGAGGAATTGCCTGGAGTCCTTCCAAAATTTTTGAGTTATGGGGGGAAAAAAACCCAAAAAAAAAAGCGTGTTCTGCCTCCTCCAGGAGTTCTTTTTTCCCAGGGAACAGGGGGAGGATGAGCTCGCAGGAGGGAGTGATTCCAAATTCCCTGGCAAGAGGAGATGATCCCAAATTCCCTGGCAGGAGAAGGTGACTCCAAATTCCCTGTCAGGAGGAGGTGATTCCAAATTCCCTGTCAGGAGGAGGTGATTCCAAATTCCCTGACAGGAAGAGGTGATTCCAAATTCCCTGTCAGGAGGAGATGATCCCAAATTCCCTGACAGGAAGAGGTGATTCCAAATTCCCTGGCAGGAGGAGGTGAAGCAGTAGGAATTCTCAGCCCTTTGGAGCAGAGCACATTCCTCAGGCTGGGAAACTCAGCCTAAGTTAAGCCAGGCCTAACTCCAGTACCAAGCAGCTGGGTTCTGATGGGCTCCACGTCGTTCTGTCCCAGGTGGAAATGAAATGGAAATGTCATTTAGTGTTCCCCCTCTGATGGAAAAATGGGTGTTTGACAGAGAAACCACTGCCAGGGTTAGCTGGAGAATTGTGAATATGGGTTGAAATGCAGACACTGACTAAAGGCATTAAATACATTAAGTAAAGGCATTAAAGATATTAAATAAAGGCATTGGAAACATTAAATAAAGGCATTAAATACATTTTAAAAAAACATTAAAGACATTAAATAAAGGTGTTAAAATGCATGAAATAAAGGAGTTAAAATACATTAAATAAAGGCACTAAAGACATTAAATAAAGGTGTTAAAATGCATGAAATAAAGGAGTTAAAATACATTAAATAAAGGCACTAAAGACATTAAATAAAGGTGTTAAAATGCATGAAATAAAGGAGTTAAAATACATTAAATAAAGGCACTAAAGACATTAAATAAAGGTGTTAAAATGCATGAAATAAAGGAGTTAAAATACATTAAATAAAGGCACTAAAGACATTAAATAAAGGTGTTAAAATATATTAAATAAAGGCGTTAGAATACATTAAATAAAGGTGTTAAAGACATTAAATAAAGACACTAAAGACATTAAATAAAGATATTAAATACATTTAATAAAGACATTACAGACATTAAATAAAGGCATTAAAGACATTAAGTAAAGGCATTAAATACATTTTAAAAAAACATTAAAGACATTAAATAAAGGCGTTAAAATACGTGAAATAAAGGAGTTAAAATCCATTAAATAAAGGCACGAAAGACATTAAATAAAGGTGTTAAAATGCATGAAATAAAGGAGTTAAAATACATTAAATAAAGGTGTTAAAATACATTAAATAAAGGCGTTAAAGACATTAAATAAAGACACTAAAGACATTAAATAAAGACATTACAGACATTAAATAAAGGCATTAAAGACATTAAATAAAGGCATTAAAGACATCAAATAAAGACACTAAAGACGTTAAATAAAGATATTAAACACATTAAATAAAGGCATTAAAGACATTAAATCACTCAAGGTAAAGGAAAGCTGCTTGAATAATTTAGAACAAAAACCTATTGTAAGCAAACCATTCTTTTGTGGTATCTTAAACCACCTTTTAAAATCGATCTGAGTGTTTCCTCTTTAAAACAAAGCCTGAAACCTTGTAACTCTTTAAAATAAATCAGCATTGGTTTGAGCTTTTAAGTAATCTCACCCAAAATGGCACCTCGTTATTTAAATGTAGGTGTGAGCCACCCCTGCAGGAACTGTAGGAATAAAACACAAAATATATATTAATTTTTTTTTTTTTTAAATATATATATATATAAAATCTTCAGCTGTGTCACAGTGGGAGGCTCAGGGGAACCCGAAGTAGGGCTGGCTGCAAAAATCAATATTTACATTGCAACAGGAATAAACTGCACTTAAAAAAACACCTTTTGCTCGACCCCTTTTGAACTCGCACACATTTTCCCCTGGCCCACGGCTCCATCCTGGAGCTGAGCTGTCCCAACAGCTGCTCCTCGGGGAGAGCTCCCCAGAGCTCTGATCTAGTCAATAAAAAATGGACTTGGCTGAGCTTTGGAGCAGATCTGAGGCTGATGAATAAATTATGGCTGGCTGCAGGAATGCTGAAACGCTCAGAGCAGGGAAGGAGTCACTTCAGAACCACAGAAAATCCACAAAGTACTTTCTGACCTTGGGGAAAAAAAAAATAAAAGTGTGTTTTTAGCATTTTTAATTTTTTTAAAATTTATTTCCCCTGGGAAACTCCAAGCTTTTCAGTGGATTCCTTGATTAATTAACAAGCAGTATATATATATATTTTATTCTGGTGAAAGGCTTTGAGTGCAAGCTGTTAACCCAGTTTCTGTCAGGAGCGTAGAAGAAATTCTGCTCAACAACCAGCTGTTCCTCAGGATAATGAGCTCCAGACTCTGACATCCCAAACATGAAAATAAATTTCCCTCTCTGCTATGTTTTACATTAAGGAAATTCAGAATATTTGCTTTTCAGAGCATGTGTCTATCCTGAAAAAAAAACCTGGGGGGTGATGTAAGGGGAAAACCAGCATAGAGGTACAACAAGTTAACATTTCTGTCCCATATTTTGAACAGCTGTAATTCCCAGACCAAGGCAGGAATTTTAATACAGCTCCAACTGTGAGTAACAGGCGCTTTAAACAACACCATAAACAACTTACAGCCGGCTCAGGGAGCTGGAAACTCCCTGAAAATATTCCCTTGGGAAAAGCCAGCCCTGCTCCAACCCCTACTCCAACCACAAATCAGCAAAAAGCAGCAGGTTTTTCTCAGTGGCGGCGTTTTTGGGTCGGATTTGTTGATTTTTAGTCCCCTGAGTGTTGAACCCCTCTGCCACAGGGCTGCTGCTCAAGAGGTGCACCCTGCTGCTGCCCACCAGGGACAGGCTCAAGTACGTGCACAAGGTGCTCGCAGGGGTAAGTGGAGGGTCAGAATGGATTGTTGTCTTTTCTATAGGTGTGGAATATATCTATATCTGTATCTATATCTATATATCTATATCTATATCTATATCTATATATTTATCTATATCTATATCTATATCTATATCTATATCTATATCTATATCTATATCTATATCTATATCTATATATTTATCTATATCTATATCTATATCTATATCTATATCTATATCTATATCTATATCCATATATTTATCTATATCTATATCCATATATTTATCTATATCTATGTCTATGTCTATGTCTATATCTATATCTATATCTATATCTATATCTGTATCTATATCTATATCTATATCTATGTATCTGTATCTATATCTATATATCTATATCTATATATCTATATCTATATCTATATATCTATATATCTATATCTACATCTATATATGTATATGTATATGTATATGTATATGTATATCTATATCTATATCTATATATTTATCTATATCTATATCTATGTCTATATATCTATATCTACATCTGTATATGTATATGTATATGTATATGTATATCTATATCTATATCTATATATT